CTGAGTCAGTCTCCTTCACGTAACATATTTGGTGGAGTTGTGCGATCCCCGTCCTCGCCACGGAACTCCGAAGCGGACGCTCACTCGCGGCTTACAACATGACCACCCAAGACTCGGCTACATCCTCTCCGGTCGCTCCCCCTTCTGCCCGACCTGTCAACCCAGCGCCCGCAACAACATTCGTGACGCTTCCCGCGCTCAAAGACCCCGGCGTGTTCTCGGGCAGCGAGGGTTCCGACGTCGACCAGTGGCTACGCCTCTACGAACGCGTCAGCGCCACTTACAGGTGGGATCCCACTCTTATGCTGGCAAACGTCATCTTTTATCTCGACGGAACACCTCGTGTTTGGTTTGATAACCACGAGCATGACATAACAAGCTGGGACAGCTTCAAGGCAAAGATCCGTGAGCTTTTTGGCAACATCTCTGGTCGTCGTGAAGCTGCGAAAAATGAGTTGTCGACTCGCGCACAATCTTCCACGGAGCCCTACATCGGTTATATTCAGGCTGTCCTTTCACTATGCCGCCAAGCTGACGAAAATATGTCTGAACCTGAAAAAGTTGCCCATATCCTAAAGGGTATCGCCGACGATGCGTTCAACTTGTTGGTATTCAACAATGTGTCGTCTGTTGATGCCATCATTCAAGAATGCCGCCGGTTCCAACAAGCTAAAAGCAGACGCATCTCCCATCAGTTCCAGCGCCTCCCGAACACCACTGCGACGTCCTCATGTCTCGACACATATCATCCACCAGACAACTGTGACAACTTGACGCGAATCGTCAGGCGGGAGCTTGAAGCGGCTGCTCCAGCTAAGGTGGGAACAACGTCCCCTGACCCCTCTCCGCCAATTACGTTGCCTCTCATTCAAGCAGTCGTCCGGCAGGAAATCGCCAGCTTGGGAATTCACTCTATCTCACCGCCTACCCGCACAGACTACCAGCCCCGATACACGCCTGCACGTCCCTTCCCGACCGGCTCTCCCTCAACGTTCCGTAATCCGTCCGCATGGCGAACACACGATGACAAGCCGATATGCTTCTCGTGTCACAGAATCGGGCATATTTCTCGCCATTGCAGAAGTCGCTGGGGTCCTCCTGCACAACCGTCCTCTCGTCCCTTATATGCACGTCCTGCCTATCGCCATGAGACCAACCGCGACCATTTTGCCCAGGAACCTGCTTCTGAACGCCGCTACTCCCGCTCTCCATCCCCCCAACGTCGCCAGTCTCGTTCTCCACAGCCCCGCCGACCATCTTCCCCCGCCTTCCCACGAGGTTCTCCGACGGAAAACTAAGCGTTGCAGCCCCCGGAGGTGGCGCTGCATCGCTCGGACTGACCGAAAATCCTCTTTTGACGATACCGACAAAACGGAACCTCATAGACGTACAAGTAGACGGCTTACATGTCACTGCTCTTGTCGACACCGGCGCCCAACTTTCCGTGATGACGAGTGATTTTCGCCGCAAGCTCAAGAAGGTTCTCACACCTGCGACCACCCAGTTCGTCCGTGTTGCGGATGGTGGCATAGCATCGATCGTTGGAATGTGCTCCGCTCGTGTGAGCATTGCGGATCGACACACAGTTGTTCTCTTCACCGTCCTTGATAAATGCCCCCACGATGTAATCTTAGGCCTCGACTTCCTATCCGCGCATTCTGCCCTCATAGACTGTTCGACCAGTACGCTCCGTCTACACTTGCCCGCAACAGAACCTCTTACACAACGGCCGAGTCGCCTCTGCACAACGGGACACGCGCGCCTCCCTCCACAGACACTGACCTACATAGAGCTCGTCTCAATACCCCCAGTTCCCGACGGTGACTATGTTCTGACCCCTATCACCGATGTGCTCATAAGCCGTGGCATTACATTACCGCACACCATTCTGTCCGTCGCAGGAAATTCTACGTGCCTCCCAGTTGTCAACTTTAGCTTGACACCTCAAGTTTTGCCGCAAGGGATGTCTTTAGCGTTGCTCTGCACCTTAGAAGACAATGCGGTAGATGTTTTCGCGATGGCCGCCCCTTCTGAACCCCACGCTCAACATCAGTCTGCCACTTGCTCCGACAGCGCTATTACTTCGATGATCGCTTCCAACTTAACACCGCAGCAGACTGATGAGCTCCACCGGGTTCTGCTGTCCTACATCGACGTATTTGACATCAGCGGCCGTCCGTTGGGGAAAGCTACCGGTATGAGCCACCGCATAAACACTGGTAATGAGCATCCTATTCATAGGCGCCCATATCGGGTGTCGGCGGCCGAGCGTCACATCATCCAAAGTGAGGTCGACAAAATGCTCGCCAAGGACATCATTGAGCCATCTTGCAGTCCTTGGGCTTCTCCTGTAGTGCTAGTCCGCAAGAAAGACGGTGCATGGCGTTTCTGTGTGGATTATCGACACCTAAACAAAATTACCAAAAAAGACGTCTACCCTCTGCCACGAATAGATGATGCGCTTGATTGCCTCTATGGGTCCCACTATTTTTCCTCCATAGACCTTCGTTCCGGCTACTGGCAGATAGAAGTAGATGAAATGGACCGTGAAAAGACGGCATTCATCACCCCCGATGGCCTATATCAGTTCAAGGTCATGCCCTTCGGCCTTTGCAACGCTCCAGCCACCTTCGAACGAATGATGGACTCCCTGCTCAGAGGATTCAAATGGTCCACATGTTTGTGCTACTTGGACGACGTCATCGTCTTTTCACCAACGTTTGAAACTCACATAGAGCGCCTCTCAGCCATCCTGGGAATCTTCCGTCGCGCTGGCCTGCAGCTCAACTCGTCCAAATGTCACTTTGGACGCCATCAAATCACAGTGCTTGGCCATTTAGTAGACGCCAACGGTGTACAACCAGACCCGGCAAAAATCAGCGCCGTCAAAAACTTTCCTGTACCACGATCTGCGAAGGATGTACGCAGCTTTATCGGACTATGCTCCTACTTCCGACGCTTCGTGAAAAATTTTGCGCACATAGCGAGGCCGCTTACGCAGCTCCTCAAGAAAGAAGTCCCGTTTTCATGGGGCTCCGAAGAGGCTTCTGCGTTCTCGACTCTCGTCGCTCTTCTCACTACCCCTCCGATTCTGGCACACTTCAACCCTGCTGCCCCTACGCAAATCCGTACAGATGCAAGTGGGCATGGCATTGGTGCAGTGCTGGCTCAGAAACAACATGGCCATGATTGCGTTATTGCATATGCCAGCCGCCTCCTATCCGCCCCTGAACGTAACTATTCGATAACAGAGCGTGAGTGCTTGGCTCTTGTATGGGCGGTAGCGAAATTTCGACCTTATCTATACGGACGCCCATTTTCGGTAGTTACCGACCACCACGCACTCTGCTGGCTGAACTCTCTGAAAGATCCATCAGGCCGCCTTGGTCGCTGGGCTTTGCGCCTGCAAGAGTTTTCCTATTCGGTGGTCTACAAATCTGGCCACCTACACCGTGATGCCGATTGCCTCTCCCGGTACCCTGTCGACGATCCTGAGGACACTGACGAGCCCACGGAGAACTCTATCTTGTCAGTGTCCGACTTCCTTAATATTGGGGAAGAACAGAAGCGTGATCCAGAGCTGCTTGACATCATCAGCCGTATGGAATCCTCCACAAATGATGCTTCCGTCCGCTACTTTGTCATTCAAAAGGGTGTGCTATACCGTCGCAATTTCCGACTAGACGGGCCCGACCTTCTCATTGTTGTGCCTAAGCATTTGCGCCGCTGTGTTCTCACCGAACTTCACGACGCTCCCACGGCTGGACACCTTGGCGTATCCCGCACGTACGAGCGCGTCCGGCGCCGTTTTTTCTGGCCAGGCCTTGCTCGTTCGGTACGCCGATACGTCGCCACATGTGACCTATGCCAACGTCGTAAGACACCATCGCTGCTACCCGCTGGCCATCTTCAACCAATTGACATACCCGCGGAACCATTTTACCGTGTTGGGTTAGATCTGCTTGGTCCTTTTCCCACATCAACATTGGGAAACAAATGGATAGCCGTTATCACAGACTACGCTACACGCTACGCTATTACGCGAGCTCTACCGACCAGCTGTGCAACCGACGTCGCTGACTTCTTGTTACGGGACGTTATATTGATTCACGGTGCGCCGAGACAGCTTCTCACAGACCGTGGCCGTACATTTTTATCCCAAGTCATCGCCGACATTCTGCGTTCTTGTTCGACGCAACACACACTGACAACCGCTTACCACCCTCAAACAAACGGCCTTACGGAACGATTTAACCGCACTTTAACAAATATGCTCGCTATGTACGTGTCGCCCGACCACCGAGACTGGGACCTTGCCTTACCCTACGCAACTTTCGCGTATAATTCATCCCGTCACGACACAGCGGGCTTTTCGCCGTTCTACTTATTGTACGGAAGAGAGCCGACTTTACCACTGGACACAGTCATCTCAGCTCACACCTCGTCCACCAGCGAGTATGCCCGCGACGCGATTGCGCGAGCCGATCATGCCCGTCAGCTCGCTCGCGCTCGGCTGATGGCGTCGCAAACCAACCAATGCCGTCGGTACGATGCGGAACATAGAGACGTACATTTCGCTCCCGGTACCCTAGTTTTACTCTGGTCCCCTCATCGTCGGCTGGGCCTATCCGAAAAACTTCTGTCTCATTACACGGGACCCTATCGTATATTGCGTCAAGTAACACCTGTCACCTACGAGATCAGCCCCATCTGCCCATCATCATCTACTATGCGGCCCAGTGATATCGTACACGTCTCGCGGATCAAGCCCTACAATAATGCGTCAGATAACGACCTTTAAAGCACCGGGACGGTGCCTCCGCCGCCGGGGGTCATGCTACGTGCCAGTGCAGAGAGCTGAAGAAGACGAAGCAGATAGACTGGCACGAGCTAATCTGTGTGGCTGGCGCTGCTCGCCTAACCGTCTGTAAATACATCGGTGACTACCCCTCTGAGTCAGTCTCCTTCACGTAACAATATCAAGCAACTTCTAACTGCACCTTGGAACCGACTGCCAGTGTGGAGAGTCCGTTGCAAAGATCGGCCGCGGGGGAGGTGTAGTAGCAATCATCATCGCCCTCATCATCGTCGTCAGGGTCTACATAGTAGATGAACGAAAGTAGGTCCTCATCCTTGCGTTTGAATCCTGGGTGCCCGTCCAAGAAGTCTGTCAAAGTGTTGTACGCAGCCAAAACCCGGCGAGCTTGCTCAGGTTGCAGTGCTTTCAGCAGGTCCTCCTCCTGGGATGGGCCATTCTCCAGCAAGACTGCTTGCAGGTGGCTGCACAAAGCAGTAACAATAGTTGATATGCAAAGCCAATGTGGTACAGTATAATGGGAAAGCAGGCAAATTAGAAATCGCACATTACATCAGACAGTGCAGAGACCATCGACAGACCCAAAAAGCTGCGAAGGTCTTGGTCACTTTACACTAAGCTGATCCCAACGCCACTCCTTGCATAGGTGTTATACGAGAAACGTGCAGCATACCTGGTGCAACATTCCACTGCACCAATGTGTCGCCAGCGTCGCAAGTGGTCACTTAGGCTTTCACTAGCATGCTATGAATATTCTGTGCATCTGCTATGCCTGCGTTGTATGCGAGGACATCCGCGCGAAGGGGACATGGATAATAAACGGCAGTGGGGGATTGTTTTGGGGCCTCAAAAGAAAAGACAAATTATACGGAGTCAATCATATTTTCGATGCAATAGAGCATGGGCATGCGATGGTGTTTCGAAAGGGAGATTTATGCAGTCAACCTGCGTAAGCCTGGAAGCATAGCCCACTACCATTGATGTTTGAAGGCATTCTTTGTTTTATTTAGCCCGTTTATGCTGAGTAAACGATGGCATTTGTGTGTGAAACAGTGTTAGACAACCTTTTGTGACGGCCGCAAGTAATACATACAATTGCTGAACTTCACGTAATGCATTTAGTAATGTGTGGCAGTTCTGCGAAGTTTTCTGTGCAGTAGATATGCCTTAGCTGTCACGTAGTGCAGCTTCACTTGTGCACGTGGTGCTATTAAGAGAGAGAGGTTGAGGAAAGGAAAAGACGCAACTTCTGCAGCCCTAAATTGGAGCACAGCTCAGCGCCTGTAGGGGCGGGGTGAGGGTATTAAATATGTGGACAAGATAGAAGAAGAGAAAAGGCGTCCATGACTGAGGACGTGTGTCCCCAAGGAAGCGAAGAACCACCTTGAAGAGTGGTGCCACGCAGGAAAGAGGAGGTTCGTCTGTGTAGCCGCGGGCAGACCATGGCGACAGAGTGCCATGGTCTGCGAGCAAGAGTACAAGGAGACAAATTTTTAAATTCTTGCAGTCCACAACACATTTTGCAAAGCATGCGGGGATTCTGCCTTGCAGTTTCTGTTCACGAACTGCACCACTAGACAAACTGCAGTACAGCAGAAAAATAGCATGTGAGGGAGAATTGCTGGATCTATCAATGGCTTTCCCCTTACGAAATGTAGACTGCAAAAGCAAGGAAACATTGACTGCTGACACTCTGTTCCGCTAGCACTGTACAAATATTTCATTTCTTTTATTTACCACATCACAGAGTAGAAGGCATGGGAAGAAAAAGCTCAGCAGAGCTTGACTAGGTTTCAAAGCCTGTTAGTCCAAGTCCTGCAGTTACAGTACAGACATTTTCTAAACACACACACACACACACACACACACACACACACACACACACATGCGCGCACATGCGCGCACACACACACACACAAAATACAAACATTCATTACATATGCCAAGTCATCAATGCATGAAACAAAATAAGCCCTCAAATTATTTCATCAAGAACACTCCATGTCATACATCGATCAATGTGACATTTTGTCCTAAACCTTTAAAACAGGAAAGGGTCATTCTTAACATTTGGTCCATAAACTGAAAAAGGCTAGTTCAGCTGTTTAGTTAAGACTTGATACATTATTTCATATTTATGTCGAAGAACTAGGCACAATTTACACAGACTAAAGACTTTTGGAATACGCAGCAACAGTTCAGAATTGCTGTGCAGGAGGATAACCTCTAGGCAAGTCGTAAATAAGGCATGAAGTTTTCTTTTGCTGAAGATATACCCTTTCTAAACTTGCGAGCGTAGTAGTGCCTCATAAAAGCTGGCTATAATCAACCTGTGACAAAAACAGATTTGATAAGCAACAGTTTGATTTTTGGCAGAAAGGACATGATTATTACAGTGTAAAAGAACAATGAAGCATGACGCAGCTAAGCATACATTATTGACATGGACATCCCACAGCAACTTTTCAGTGAACCAAACAGCAAAGGTTTTAAAAGCTGACAATTTCTATGTTTCGGATCCATAGCTTAAAGGGGCTCTTTGGAGCACGTTCGCACAAATTATGCACTCCAGCAGGTTCAACTTCATGGTGCAGTTTGGCGTAACTGCCACAGTGATTGTAGTACCTTCCAACCGGCGCCCTCCTTGCCATGGCCTTAGAAAGAAAAATCAATGAATTCCAATACACCGAACTACAGTTAAACCTCGTTATAATAACACGGGCTGTAGCAAAATAATGGATATAATGAGCGAAATGTTATTCCCCTTGAAAGTTCGCACAGAAACCAATGTATTCAATACCTTGTTTCAACGAGGTAACATTTGCCTGTTATGGGATATGAGGAAGAAATTTTGCTAGGAAATAAAAATTTGAGCCAATGTAACGACAGCGCACAATGCAACATTGAAAAAATGCACAACGCGACTATACTGTATTCAGCAGTTCAAAACTCCCACCCCACATACTCCAGCAATGCTTACAAAGCTGACAGCGCGCACAGTTTCTGAAGAAGAGAGCATTGCACGTGCACTGCTGTTCTGAAGTCTGTTTAAAACGCCAGCAGTGTATTTTGAAATGCAATAAATAGGTGCATGAATTTTCTTTTTTATTTGTGAAATGCAGTTATTTTGTTGCGTACCACCTTGCGGGGATATGTTGCGTACCACCTTGGGCGAGACGCTATTTCACCCACTATTCGTTTTGGGCAATTACAAAGCATAACATTTGCAGTAAATGCCAGCTGCAGCTATAACAAAATATTGGTTATCCAAGAAAATCGTGGCAACCCTCCAATTTCGTTGTAACGAGGTTGTACTGGATCTTGCCATCACTTTTGTATCTGATGTGTCCAGTCTATTCAACAACTACCAATAAATATTTCAAATATACCAAGCACTAGCAATGGGTGGTTTGCAAGTCACTCGAAAAAAGTGACAAACGCATTTTAAAAAGTGGCGCAAGCAAATTTTAACATTGTGCTAAGAGAAGCAGATCATGCAGATGAAAGTTAGAAAAGCTACTGCTTCACCACAATGTGTTGCTCGAAAATTCACAAAAAGACTAACAAGAGACTGGCTTCTGTGACAGTCATTACACGCATTTTTAAGCGATGAATCTGAACCAACTCGACCAGTTTTCAATTGTGCTATATGTAATTTCACCACTATTGCACACAGCTAATGTTAATAAAAACTAGAATGAAGCACACATTTAAAGAATATGAATGAGACTGACCAGCTCACCTTACAATATCAGCGGCATCATCGTCAGTTAGAGGTAGGGGTTCTGGTATTTGATCCACACTGCAAAAACAGAAAAGAAGAAATTTCAAGAAAAGAATTTTAATACCTTTTTCAATAATTGCTTAGGCGATATTTGCACAAAAAATATTTCACATTAAGCTCGCAGGCTGCTATTCATATAGGCAGAGTTCATTCTCTAGCTTTTCTTTTAAAAACAATGCATTAGCTCAAATTTGTACCACCACTTGAGGGCAGCTACAGAAAACTACAATGAGGGGGAGTTGCCACATAGGCAAGCACACTCTTGGCAGCATATTAAAAAAAGAACAAATGCAAGTTCACTTTCTCAAAAGTTGGTCAAGTAACTATGCCAATTGTTATATGAAAACGACATAGTTGACAAAAATGAGAGATTTCTGCCAAATTTGAAAAGATCAGAGTAGCAGTGAGCATGAAATCTATGCTCCCGGACTTACTCCTGCGTGGAAATAGCCATGCTTGGCTAATATGTTTAGTTTCGTCCATTTCATTTCTGCTGGGCTTGCATTAAGGACTGCGCTCCTCTAAAGGATTATCGGTGCGCCATATTTCTTGAAAACATACAAAGGACAAGCAACAGTAGTATAAACTATCAAATATTTCTTCAACTACACCTATATTTCAAAATCCCTGCTCTGACCATTATTTTGTTTGGCTGTGCACAAATAGAAACTATCGGTTTAACAGGGCTTCAGTGCATGAATCGCAAGCAAAAGAGAAAACTTTAAAATGGCATTTACTGTGACTTCACAATTAAACCAATCTATGTACAATAAATTAGGTGAAAAGCTGCACTTATAAAATGAGCTTCCCCAAGAAACGCGTTACTGAACTTGTACATCTTAACGAGCATGAAGCGACAATCTCGCAAGGCAGAGACTCGAAAAAAAAAACAAAAGATTCCCATGTCCAGTTTCCACTTTCCCTTATGCTTCCTTGTCTTTTCCTTGTGCAAGTGTTGTGAAGATGTATACTATTACAAGTTTCAGTTGCAAATAACTAGCGCAAATTTCTTTGTTGAATTGTTGAGCAACATCGTAACGATGCGGCATAGAGCTGCAGATCAATGTGTACCTTAGCTTTGGTTTATATGTTTTCCCTTATGCATGAAAAAAATGATGCTGATTCAACTGAAATTAACTGTGGCCTAGTGCTCAGAAAACTGTCGTCTCTCTCATCACATCATGAAGTTTCTTAAAATTAACGAGAGGGAACTCTGGTGCTGCAATCGTTCAGCAACCATGAAAATGATGGGCAGTACACAGATTTGCCTAGCCTTCATACCTGCGTGTGGCAAATCGCACTTGTGGCTTCGTTTATTGCAGTGTACCGGTTGTGCTTCGAAGTGAAGAACGAACCCTTTTGAAATTCATGAGCCGATTTGAAATGGTAAGCCTAAAGAAATAACGTGGTGAAGGGCAACTGCTGAACATTTTCCGATTTTTTGTTCCGTAAGAAAACAGCTCGAAGTCGCATACACAGAGCCAGAAGTACAAAGATTAGACAAATCCCTGCACTAATCATCATACCCATGCTCGCTGAAGCGCCGTGCGTTACAGCTCCCATAGACACTAGCGCCAGAGTTCCCTCTAGTGTATATTAAGGAAACTATGCATCACACCAGGCAAAGAAGAAAAAAAGCATCACTACTATTGCAAAGCAGGAAAGCACATACAGCCCTACTGGTTCACCTAAAAACATCAATTTTCTCAGCGAATAGGCTTGCATGGTGCAACAACAATCTATTCAACTTGCATTAAGTTAACTGCGACATAAGCGTGTACTCACCAAATAGAAGTGGTTCCGTTCTCGCGATCTCCTAGGATGTTCAGTTCATAATCCTTCCTACAATTCGAAGAACCCAGGACCCACCTCGTGAAAATTCTTAACTAATTACCCAACACACAGGAATGTTCAAACACACACATTTATAATAATTGTTAGCAAGAGGGGAAAAGAGTGTTCTTTTGCAGCTGTCATAATTACACATTACTTGTCAGCTATTGCTTGTTATACTTAGGCAAAAGTATGTGTGTATAAAAGGAACATGAAATACAAGGCATCTACAAAACAGCCTAAATCTAACACAACCTGCCAATTTGCAAACATGTTGCCAAAGAAACAATGTTTTTATTCACAAGTAATTGAAAGTTGTGCTACTGCAGTCACAGTAATCTAACGACATGTTTTTTCTATGCTGGTATATTGGCATGGCTGATGCGACCAGGGTAAAGGAATGCCAAATACAAGTACTACAGAGAAATTTTTTCATAAGTTCAATATTGTTCAATAGCTTAACTAGGCCAATAGTAAATGGTAATGATCACGTGTGCTTCAAAATCTCAGTTATTTGATTTTATGCACAATGACCGTCCCATCACCAAACACGACTCCTGGGGATGATCACGACAGCAAAAACCCTTTGCAAATGCACAATGCTTGCAGAAAAAAAAATGCTTCCTTAACACAATACGTTTTGTTTCCACAAATAGTCTAGTATTTAACCTATCAACTTTAAATTGATGGCTGACCTATAGTCAAGATATTTTATTATGCCTCAAATATGCTCTAGACAGGTTTTGTGGCTTGAATACAGCATTCGCACATGTATGCTTGAACGAAATGGTGCCTATAGCAGACTTCATACCAAACACAAGGGCACTGCACAGCAATAACGTAAATCTAATGGAACCTGTTCATTTGCACACAGCTTGCAAAAAAAAAAGGGCAACATTTTTATTGACAAGTAAACTCAACTTATGACACTGCTATTGCGGCTATTTAACGTGTGTTTGGTATGAACATCCATAAAGGAGGTTGCAATTACCTGTAGGGTCAGCACAAGTTTGAGAACAGCCGAGCAAGAAACTAACAAGTGGCTCACCTGTCCAAAACTGAGGTGCTGTCCGGCGATGACCAATCACTGTAGGGCGTACTAGGCATCCTTGCAGGTAACATCGGAAGCTCGCCCTTTCTGCAGATAACCACCCAAATAAAACCACTGGTCTACCTTTGAAACGCCACTTCGATGCTGCTGATCATCCCTCGATCTATATGCAACTATTGTATCAAAGCATGGCAGAGGACAACTGCATTTAGCACATGACGGGCAGCAATGTTAGACTGTCGTAATTTAACATTTTCGCGAAGTTCGTGATGTTTTTCTCTATCAATACATCCTGCACACTGCTTAGGTTACGCATTGACCTGTTTATGGCAAGCATGAGCCAAACTATAAGGCCAGTGCAGCCCATTCAAGTTCCCGTGATTCGTCAACAAAAATTTCCACAGCGTGGGAAAAGACTCAAATGCACGAAAAGAGTGCTGACATGCACAAGCGCCAACTTTACTACCGATTGTTATTCAGAAAAAGACACATATGTAGCGAAAGATTGCACAGCTCTTAACAACACACGTCTACAACCGTGCATGATCACTTACAAGTTACAAAATTAAAACAAAAGAAAAGACTATCTCGCGAGAGCATACCCCTGGAAAAGATACTTTTTCGTGCAAGCAATGGAAAGCACGCCGATGCACGTTTCTCTGAAGCAAGCAATGTGCGCCACCTCTACGATTTCTGGTGAGCCAATTATCGCTTGTCTAGATTACCTCCAATTGTAGGCAGGCAGGCAACCAAACCCCTTACAATCCGCGCTCAAATATTTAGAGTTGCTGCTCTGCCCATTCCATCAGTGTTCCTGTAGGCGTATATTGTTCTGCCAACATATTCCGTTCCGCGCGACACTAATACATACACCACGTTGTCAACAACATATTTTGCCGTAATTCATTTTTTCCACAATTTTTTCCCATGGTACATTTATAGCATCAACATTTTGTAAGGGTACCAACTTTCCCTCATGTGCTAGAAACCAAAATTCATGTGTAAACATATCACAAAGACGTAGTGTGATGCAGTTATGACCTGGCAGCCAAACTAAATTTCACTGCATAAAAGAAGCAAAAAAAGTACTAGGGTACTCACAGTGAGTGCTTGTGAGCCGACCACCCAGTCATGCAGCCGTTGGCCTCAGTGTCACTAAGAGCTTGTTGTCTGCACAATGGCAAGTTTTCATTAACAAAAAAAGATCTCTTGAAGATGTCATGAAAAGGATACATATGATTCAACACAAAAGCACAAGAGGACACGTCCACTTGCACAAAACACCCAGTTGGCCAAAAGACCTGGTGCGCTAGGCCAGTTTATGTTTTAGTTTGTCGAGAACTTTTTTGGTATGCGCTGAAACAGTGCAAATATTACCTCAATCTGTCATACTATTGTCGAACACTAAGGTGAGCCAATCAAATAAAATGCTGATATGTATCAACCAATCCTTGCATAGTTTTGAACAATTCATAAGCAGTCTTTAAAAAGGAAAGTTTTTTTTTTCTTTAATAGAGGGAAACTAGTCAGACTATGAGCAACACCAAGATGTCGCACGTGTCTTGTTTTCATGCCTCCACCGTTCACGTTAGCAGAGGCCTTAAAAATGTACAGATAACAAAACCGCAGCGGATGGAAGATAGCACGGGCAACGTGAGAGTGATGCAAAATTTTACATTCGAAGGAGAGGTGAGCAAGGTCCGCACAAGAACTTTTCGTACCAACACTAAGGGAGAAAAAAAAAACTCAATCACTCTCCACAAGTGACAAATTCTACAAACACAGCTAAGCATGACCTCAGATATACAAAATATACCATATCTCTGAGGCAGCTCAACCTACATCAGCAATGATAACCACATGCACAGAATGTTACATTAGGTGCTATTTTAAGGCTCCTAACTAGTCCAGCAGCCTGCAAACCAATCTCTGCAAGCTAATGAATTTAGTGAAGTGCAATTTCTCGGCAGTTAATTCACGACATGATCAGTGCTAGTGCTACTGCTATGTACATGCTTTCTTAAAATACTACGCTTTTTGTACTCACTTCATCCTAAGTATTGCAAAGAGTTCTGGTAGGTTTGCCTCCATGTTGCTGCAAAGCAAAAGCAAAGCAAATCTTCAAACAATGCAAAGCAAGGGTCTTATTGCAGAGTGGCAAGACATGCTGAACAAGGTAGGAAAGCAAGTGAAAAGGCAAAGCCTGTAGTTTGAAAACTTGCCACATACTCTGAGCGTTATGTACACACCATGCCGCAGAAGCTTGTGCAGCATGTTCTAGCCTGTAGTAGTCGCAGACATAGTTGATTGATATGTGGGGTTTAACGTCCCAAAACCACCATGATTATGAGAGACGCCGTAGTGGAGGGCTCCGGAAATTTCGACCACCCGGGGTTCTTTAACTTGCACACAAATCTGAGCACACGGGCCTTCAACATTTCTGCTTCCATCGAAAATGCAGCCGCCGCCGCCGGGATTCGAACCCGCGACCTGCGGGTCAGCAGCCGAGTCAGCAGCCTTTAGCCACTAGACCACCGCAGCGGGGTACGCAGACCTAGTTACCAGCTAGATTAGAGATGCCTTACACTAACGGAGTATTTTTCCAGCACGTACAATTGGCATTTTGGCGAGCACTAGATATTTAAAATTTTTCCAGGCAGTCTGTGCTCCCACGGGTTGCATTTTTTATGCTACTTTCATTATAATGCTTTACCTCATTTACACAATTAAAAGCAGCAAATAGTTTTGATTAAGCCTTCCTTGGGTCCTGTCACACAATTTCTTAGGAAAGGTTTCCATATTTCAGCATCTATTACGCTAGCTCTTTCTTTGCAGCAAGACAAAAAATTGTTTCCAAGTAAATACATAAGTATTTTCCATTACATTACGACTGAAGGCCATGTTTCATGTATAGTAAGTATCACAAAACTGTCATAGAAGCCAAAGCATGCATAGACTTCACAACATGTGCAAGCTCACTTTTACATACATGTACACTTCTTGAGTGCGAAGAATAGCTTGCGCTTGTCAGTACGGACTCGACCAGTTGGACTGGCTCATGTGACCATTAGCCTGAAGCAGCAGTTAATATGCTTTCTCCTATACCTGTCCACATGTGCACTCATACTAGGCCTTGGTTCGGAGCAGCCTTTCATTCAATCATTCAGCTTATAGACAACTTCCAATTGCTTATCACAAGTGCTATGAATAACTCAGTAAGCGTGAGTCAAGCAGCGGGTTTCAGGCGCATACCGTCTAGTAGAAGCGTGCCGGTGTGTGCAAGCACGCATCGCTTGCCGATGCGAAACTGCCAATCCACATGAGGCGCAGCAGGCACAAGGCGTGTAAGCAAGCGCTCCCATGAATTAGCAAACAAAGACATGGTTTGGGCTTGCAAGGCTAAAAACGCACCCGTTCATCGCCGCAGGACGCCGCATGTAGTTTATCTCTTAGCTGAACAGTTTTCCAGAACAGAAGATTGAAAACGTTCACCGACAAATAAAATAACAGTGCCATAACTGAAAGAAGTGGCCAAGTAGCAACATTTCTTATTCACAACCAGCCATGCCTAGGGTTATCTAGCATATTTTATCACTATGGGAGGCTGGAACCTCCCTTACTCAAAGTATACTTGTAGAGTTAAGAAGCAAAAACATCTGTTTTGGTGTTTATAGATGGATAGGTATGGTTGTTAATTTTGAATAATGTTTCAAGGACATTCTCACATTTCGCTAACAAGGTGTCAGCGGCTTCTTAACCGGCTTTGTCGTAGTGGAATTCTCAAACTGAAAAACCAATGCTACTCTCAATTGCAACCTGAAAAACTCATTTCTGAGGAACGAGAAAAAAAAAGACGTATTTTGAAACGGCTGAAAAATCTTGTACATTCGAGATTTTCGCAAAGCCTCCTTCGTACTTTTTATAAAGAACCAAGGTTTCAAAAAAATAATACACATTACAAAACGCAAAACCTACGGCTGGGTCACCTTAAAAGCAGCACCCAGAAACTGGGATGTATTTCACCAATAGACGTGTGCATGAGCGAAGTTTGATAACCTGGAAAGTTCAAATAAAATTCTTAAGCAGTAGATATATCAGATTTTCCCACTCAGGATCACGAGTTCCAACACATTTATTTTCTTGCGATAAAATAAGCAGATTTGGTGCAACTAATTTGCATGTACAAAAACAAGGGAACTTCAAGAGCTTTTTCTTCATTATACAGTATCAATGAGAACTAACAGAGTCTGTCAATGCTTTCTTGGTAATTAAATTCCACCCACAATTTCATACAGAGACAAAGGCAGCCGCGAGGGTCACAGTGATCAATAACGTGCCCTCCGTACGCACGCACTCGATTCGGCCCAATGCTGTGCTGGTTCGAAGCAACAGCTTGTCTTGCGCCAAACCGCAATAACTGAACTACCATTCATACTTCACCTGACATACAACGTGATTAATGCATAAGGAGGTGAAAAACTTTCGCATACATTTTACAAATAGCAAGACTACAATGGATCAAGCCATGTCGTTCCAGTGCGGTCTCCCACTCCAGAAAACGGAGTGCGAGAGAGTTTATTCCGAGCAAAGGATATTTACATAAGACTTCCAACACTGGGCAAGTCTTCTAAATCTACAAACTCGCAAAATGCAATCTCACACAAGGGTTGAGCCAGCACCGATCGCGCTGTTTACATTCAGACTGTGGGAGTTTGATACAACCATATAGCAAATAAGAAAAGCAGTGCATTCATGTTAACATTTTGCGAAAACTTCATCCATTTTGCCGCGGCCAACCTCGCAGCATCGGCAACACTTTAAATGGGGAATAACAAAACTTTCGCAAGGTAACGTTCCTGTGCCGTGTGAATTATTGTTCTGTTCATTTGCTACATCAAAGCTTGACAAGTTCACGTCACATAGACATTGCACGTGTAATAGTGTCACACTTCACATTACGCAACTACGCAAGGACACTCTGGTATCTCATATCTATGCACTGGTGGCACTTTCACAAATGACACGAGTTACTAGGACGGGCTATGTTTGCACTGCACGATCCAATAAATTCATTTTATTCAATAAATTCAATAGCTTCATTCGGAACCGGAGAAGTTGCTGCATTGCACTTAGGAGCTCGCCTTTCACAGCCTGCTACTTCATCTGTTAGGCTGGCTGTGCCCGTGCACAGTTCGACGTGCGTCGCATCTGAGGGCGTGATACAAAACACAATTTAATTGCCCAAGGCATTTGGGAGCAGCAAAAAGATGGGACAAAACAAGCGGCGAGGCTATGCAGAGATATTTAGCTCACCTTCATCGCCAGATGCAGTTGTATCGGATGTTGCCATGCTTGAAGTTACCAGAATGTCTACTCTTGGAGAGTCGGCCGAACAGTCAACCCCTTTTAGCCGCTGGCTTCGTTCTCCCTGACCGAGATCGTGGCCATCGTGGCTTCGGCTTGCTTACATATATATATATACACTGGCAATCCTTTGAACAGGCTAGGAAAGGCCCCGGCCCGCAACTTTGCCTTCTCGGGTTGCAACAACACGCCTTCATCATTTACGAAGTCATCAGTTCGAATAAAATGCGTGGTGTCAAAATGTTTCTTGCACACACTCGCGTGTTCACATTCGAAGTTAAATCTGCCAGCTTACTGTCACGTTACCATACGTTTCCGTTTCTCTCTATTGCTGCCTTCCCTTGGTAAAGAGAACGACACCTTTTCACTCCTGCTTCCTTAGCGGGAGCGGCAACCCAGTACGCAGCAAGTCTTCGGCATCATCTCTTATGTGCACAATCCTTGTCCTCGCACATAATTAGCACAGTCAGAGAGCACTTGGCATTGTCGTAAGCCACACAAATTTAGAGAAACCATGAAAGCTAAACATCGATGCCACCGGATTCAGCTCTCTCTATGCAGCAAAGCCAGTGAACAACCGCGAAGCTATCCTGAAAGCCCCCAACGTGCTCCTAGTGCTGTCATGTGAGCAGCCGTGGCGACACAGCAAGCTCTCATCATAGCGTTTTGTGACCAGAAAAGCATTGAAGGACTCTGACTAGACCAAGAAAGTATAAGGGGTGATACATGTAGTGCAGCTGAAGACAAACTGTCGCCGGCATAGGACCAAACCTGCAACCTTCAAGCACCGCTTCCGATGCTCTACCCCTCAAGGTACACCAGCCGTCATCGTCCCATATACTCTATTGGGTATATCCTGAGCATTTGAATATGGGAGTGTAGGTGCCACTTATAGCCATGACAGTGAGTTAGCTTCCTGCCTGCTGGCGTCATGTAGCATGTGGTCTTTTTACAAGCTGGCAGCTGACTTATACCTCCATGCGACACCAGTAGGCAAAATAAAATATGTTCCATACTCACAGTCACGGCTATTATCAGCCCTGAACAACACTCCAGCATTGATTGATTCATTTGTGGGGTTTAACGTCCCAAAACTACCATACGATTATGAGAGACGCCGTAGTGGAGGGCTCCGGAAATTTCGACCACCTGGGGTTCTTTAACGTGCACCCAAATCTGAGAACACGGGCCTACAACATTTCCGCCTCCATCGGAAATGCAGCCGCCACAGCCGGGATTTGATCCCGCGACCTGCGGGTCAGCAGCCGAGTACCTTAGCCACTAGACCACCGTGGCGGGGCACCTGGGGTTCTTTTGACGTGCACCTAAAAGCACACGCGCCTCAGGCATTTTGTCATCCACCGAAAATGCGGTCACCACGGCTGGAATTCGGTCCCGCGAGAGGGGGGCGTGAAACAAACCTAAACTACGCCTACTATCTGCATCGGGTGACTTATCAAAGATATAAAGGAACGAAACGGTACTGACACGCGATAACATTGCATGTCGAATATGGCGGTGTAAATAAGCGTACTGTTGCGACCGCACAATACGAAAGGGGTTGAAAGAAAATGCGAAACGTCGTTCAAGGGCTACACTTACGAAGGCAGGTTAGCAGAAGCACCGCTTGACGATCCAAACGAAAACGTGGCCTTGTGTTTTTTTCTTCGATCACGCTTCGTGGCAAACATTTCCGTCCTGCATTCGCCATTAAAAAACACGGCATTACGGAACAATACGGTGAAAACACTAAACTGCACCTCTGAAGAAGTTACGCGACAGCTATAAAATGTTTTTAATGAGTAAATAGCAGTATTTAACAAAAGGGCCACGTCCAGGGCACTCCCGTTTCCGGCAGTACAGCCAAGACACTTTTCTTTAGTTTTTGAATACGCCGCCTACGCGAGTCTCGCCTCATAGCGTCTCGAAAGGGTGAACCGCTTCCCTAGGCGAATAACTGTAAGCCGTAGATGAAATAAGGAAGAGCTCACCTGAACTCGGTCGGGCTCCGATGGAACAGTACTGCAAGCTTCTGGACGATTGCGTAAGACAGCCGCGTAGACGTTCCAGATGCGGATGCCGAACGAGGCTCATGCAGGCTCAGACTCGCGCTCCCGATCCACGTGTTATCTTCACTTGCAACCACCGGCCAATCAGACGACGCAAAGCGGCAAGCCGTGATACGCCTGCTCGAAGCGCTTCTTCTTTTTTGCCGACGCCGTTTCATTTCAATATGTCAGCGACTAGCAAAGGCACACTGTGCCATGGTAAGGAACTATAGTTTAAAGTGTTCACACACCTTCAGTAGAGTTACGCCAGTTTAACCACAGAACACGTATACACTACCGTTCAGCCACAGAACGTTCAGCCGTTAGCCAAGCTGTCACTTTGCCGGTTCGCCCTCACCTTCGCTAGGTGTGCCATAACTTTCTAGATGTCGCAGCAAGCGCGTAGACAGTTTCGGTTTCATTTTTGTGAAACTGAAACTCCTGACAAGTAGTTGCCTCCTGGCTGGTTTTCAGAGCGGTGATCAGCTGCAGATCTGCATATTAGTCACAGTGTATTAAGCATGTGCCAGGTACTTGCGAAGGTGTCATAAAAACGGTACGGTCCACGTTGCGCAAGAAACGTCGTTCAAGCGATCGAAAATAAATATATGAGTATGGTCAGATACGATCAATCGCAACCTGCGCGTGATCGACAAGTGGAAAAACGCTCTAAATAGCTGCGAAGTCCAACAAAGCCCATTAACAAATGCTACAGCCGCAGAGAAACGTCTCTAAAGCAATGGCCCACACCCTTCCCGCATACTCTTGCATTTATTAAATTGTTTTTACGTCACCCCGTCGCGCTGGTCTAGTGGCTAAGGTACTCGGCTGCTCACATGCAGGTCGCGGGTTCGAATCCCCAGCTGTGGTGGCTGCATTTCCGATGAAGGCGGAAATGTTGTAGGCCCGTGTGCTCAGATTTGGGTGCACGTTAAAGAACCCCAGATGGTCGAAATTTCCGGAGCCTTTCACTACGGAGTCCCTCATAATCATATGGTGGTTTGAGGACGTTAAACCCCACATATCAATCGTTTTTTTTTCTTACATCAACAGCTGTTTTCGGCCAATCTTATGACTACTGACAGTGTAACAAACCAAACGATTGCAAAAAAAGAGAGAGAGAGAGCACTAAAAAAACATATGGCAGCAACATCACTGTGAAACACGAGCAAGTGCGTACGTCACATGGCGAGCGCCTCGCCGCCGTTCATTGAGTTCACTATATGTCACTCGTCAGGCGTTATATATATATATATATATATATATATATATATATATATATATATATATATATATATATATATATATATATATATATATATATATATATATATATATATATATATATATATATATATATTTATTTATTTATTTATTTATTTATATCATGACGACTCGGTTGTAACGAGGTTTATTGGTCGTGAACTCGGGAACGAACAAGCGCAACGGACCCGACAAAGAAGCGCACGTGCCAAGAAGATGATGATTGTCAGCCAGAACATATGATGATGATTGACTGCTGTTCAGATGAGTATGAAGCGCATAATAGATGCCTACACTGTAGGCGTTCAAGACAGATATGGCTGCTAATTCAGGCTGTAAAGAAAAAATTATAGTTGGCGACTTCAACTCTCACCATACCTGCTGGGGTTTTAGAACAGATCAGTGTGGACAACGGTTGTGGGACTGGTCGGTAGACGACGACTTATTGTGCCTTAACGCTGGAACTCCTACATTTATTCGAGGTCATTCACGCTCCGCCTTAGATTTAAGCTTTGTAAGCTCGGCCATTGCTAGTAAATCGTGGACAGCCCTTGATTGCGCCTCCAACAGTGACCCCTTTCCAATAATGTTCGAGATCGCTTGCCCGTCAAACCATCATGCTTCCATGCCCGAACCTATATGAATTATACAAAATTTCAACACGACCTAAAAACGGCTTTAGACGCTCCTTCTCATGATGGAGATGACACTAAAGCTATGAAAATAAGCGCAGTAATCAAAAGGGCATACAAAAACGCGGAATTTGCTGTTAAATCAGCGAAGAGAGTACCCTATAGCCCCTGGTGGAATTCCAACTGTTGACGAGATCACAGACGAAGACAGGCAGCTTGGAAGAAGCTAATACATAATCAATCCCCTAAGAACTGGTCAGATTATAAATTTCTTGCCGCTGTATTTAAACACACGGTGGCCCAAGCTAAAGAAGAATATGATAAAAGACATTTCGATTTTCTCTCGAAATCCAAAAATAAGAAAGCTTTATTTCAATATATGCGATCTCGCAAAATCCTGCCGTCTACATTAAATACTGATTATGAAAAACTATCATTGGAAGAAACGAAGAACTCTTTAGAGTCAATTGGCAGAGGTCTAGAAATTAGATTTTCTTCGATTATGGCTTTCAACTGGCAAAAGTCTAGCATAAGCACTGACTTTGAAAACGTAACGCTGTCTGAAGCATCAAAAGTCATTCGAGATCTACCATCGTCAGCTCCTGGCCCAGATGGAATCACAGTTCTTATGATTAAAATTTTATTCAAGCTATCCCTGGCGACGTCCTCAATCTTATAAACTACTCTTTAAAGAATGCCTGGATACCGTATGACTGGAAAATAGCTAAGGTAATCCCATTAATAAAAAAGCAAGGATTAGGTTTTACCATAGAAAATATCAGACCCATCTCTCTAACTTCGAACATGGTGAAACTCATAGAGAGGGTTCTAAAGGGCCGAATACACTCCTGGATGATGAATAAGGTCATATTGAAGCCAAATCAAATTGGTTTTCGTTGTGAATGCTCAATTTGGTGCGCCCATGCGGATTTAGAGAGTCGAATACAGCTTGCTCGTAAAAGGAAACAGTACGCCGCATTAGTAACTCTCGACATAGCTAAAGCGTACGACAGTGTCGAGCACTCTATTCTGCTGACCACCTTGCAGAGTCTAAAGTTTCCTCAGTATATTACTGAGTGGATAGCAGAATTCCTAAAATCAAGGGAATTGTATTGCGTGAAGGATGGCTGTTGTTCGCGTAAATTCAAACAGAAACGTGGTGTTCCCCAAGAGTCCGTCCTATCTCCAGCATTATTCAATATACTGATGAGCTCTATTCCGATTGTTCAGGATGTCAGTGTCTACATTTATGCAGATGATATCGCGTTCTTCGCTTCAGAGAGCGACATTTACTCACTACATCAAAAACTGCAAAGATATATTAATACACTAGAAATTTGGTTGCAATCCATTTCATTGTCATTGAACATCAGTAAAAGTGTGCTCTTGGTGTTTCCTATAGCAGATACAGTTTCAATTTCTGTATTGTATAATCGGGAACCTATTCCACAAGTTGATTCAGTCAAGTACTTAGGAATGATTTATAATGACAAGCTAAATTGGAGCCCACACATTGAATATATAACAGCAAAGGCACAACGGGCGTTAGGTTTATTACGCAGGTTAAGCAACAGAAAATACGGGGTGCGCAGACACGCAATGTTAATGATATATAAAATGTATGTGCAACCAATATTGAAATTTGGGTGTGTATTATTCTCGGGGGCCGCTGGTTATAAAATTAAACCGCTAGTAATGTTAGAGCGAGAAGCCCTGCGATTATGCCTGGGGCTTCCCAGGTTCGTGGCGAATAATATATTGTATCAAGAAGCGCGATTGCCAACACTGCTCTGTCGATTCCGCATTCTAACGGTTCAAACCTTCTTAAAGTTCTACAGTTTACCGGCGCGAAGATCAGAGTACGCATTTATCAGCGACCCTGACTCTTTCTTTCTTGCACATTGGCCTCGATTTCATACCCCTCAGATAATTTTCGTTAAAAAGAAACTGGATTGCATAAATGTAGACATTAGCACAGTAATTGAAACTAATTCCTCAACCATCAACATTAGAATAGAGTACGATGAAATCTTCCCCCCACAAGCCAAGTTGCAATCTCTTAGATTTTTGACCACTACATTAAACGATTACTTGGTACATGCAGAAACCAAAAATGCAATAGCTACAGATGCTTCTGTCAACAATGAAAAGGCAGGCATAGGAATTGCGTCCGATTTCCTCGGCTGGTCTTTTTCAGTAAGGCTTCCAGATTTCACTCCTATATTTGAAGCCGAGCTAGTAGCTATTATTTTAGCTCTTCGTAAAATTTCTACGACCGAGACCAGTGCAATCATCCTAACAAACTCACTTTCGGTGTGTGCAGCTCTGGCAACCTCCGAACAATCTCGTGCCCTAGCAGCGTTCCACACATTAGCACCGCCGCATTTAAAACTCCTCAAATTAGTGTGGGTCCCAGGTCACTGCGGATTACAATTAAATGAATTGGCAGATGCTTTGGCACGAGCATTACTCGATCGACCAGTAATTTCAGTACTTCCCGAGGTAGAATACTTATCAGGGGTTAGATATAGGAAATTCGCTATTTTTACAGATAGCTTAGAATATATCACACAATGGACCGATTATCAGCACCTCAAATTTCCATGGAAAGCCCAGTGGAGTCCATCCAAAAAACTTGAAATTATAATCTCCAGATTCCGGTGCCGCGTCCCCCCATTAAATTTTTATTTACACAGAGCTGGTCTGACACTTTCCCCCCTTTTTCCATTCTAAGAAGAATCAGAAACTATTGAACATTATTTTGGCTCATGTCGTAACTATGCATTAATTAGGAAACGACTTTTAGATATTCCATTTGCGAAGCTAGGTTTAAATTTAACCACAGAAAATGTTCTAAGTTTTGGTGCCTCTGTTTTGGGAAATTGCCACAGAGATGCATTCGATGCGGTGTGTAATTTTATTCAAGACTCTGAACGTTTTTCAACATAAAGCCCACGTTAACAGATACTCAAAAAAATGTGTCGAAAAGTAATTTTCAATTCTGGATAAATTCGTGACATACCAAATTAATCATGTTTGGCAAAACCAGCTGTCTGGTCGGCTCCAAAAATCAAGTTGTAGCTATTAGTGTCTACTTTGTTGTTGATTCTTTTTTCTCACAATCTAAATCTTTGGTTTCTTTCTTTTTTTTTACCAATTCACAATACAACTCTCTCTCTCCCCCCCCCCCGTTTTTTTTTTCGTTGTAAGCAAGAATGAAGCTATCGTCCATATGAGACTATATGTTCTCTTGGCCAATCCCCCAGAGTGGGTACGAGCCATGGATTAGAGGATACAAACAAACAAACAAACAAACAAACAAACAATGCCTACACTGATTCCCCCCCCCCCCCCCCGTGGAAGCGGCCAGCATGGCCGCTGCGGGCGGGTAGTCAAGGTGACGAGGAACGTCGTGTGAAAAGCTTCATGCGGGAAACGTGTATAATTTCGGTGCTGCGGTAACGGCAGTCAGTTGGCACGACAAGAGGCGTC